CAGGGGAAGGTGATGGAAGCCAAGAATAACAGACATTATCCCCAAATAGGGACCAAGCCAAGAATGACTCACAAGCTCCTTGTGGTCACTACTAGGGAAAGAAGAGGTCATCTGCAGAGGGGTGGGCAGAAGTGAAAAGTGGTGGACAGAGACAGTGGCTGAGCCCCCAGAAGAAAAGTCATTTTCGGACTTTAAAGAAAGCTTTGCAGTCAAAATATAAGAAGTGTTGATGTGAAAAGATGAGCAACAAAATGAGCAGAGATGCTGAGAGAGTGTCGTCACCCTTAATCTCAGACAAACGTAATCACCGTTTATCCAGGCAGGACATGGAGAGAGTCTAGCTGGAAGCTACATCTATAAGCAGTTATTTGGTGGTGGAATACTTCTGCAATAAACAGCTCCAAGCCACTGGAGATAGGAGGTCTTGTCAATTATGCTCTAATAAAAAGCTTCCCCATAGTAACCCATGGAGGCAGGCTCTCTTTCCACTGGCTCATCACACTAACATTGTCATGCTGTGGCTTGAGCGTGGTTTGCTCCATTTTTACTTTTGTATTGTTAATGTTTATCAGATGTGGATTCTTCACCTGCTCTAATATCCTGCTGCTGTTTGTATCACTTGCTTTTCTATTGCGGGGACAAATCATGAACACACAGCTAATAGAGGAAAGCTTATTTGGAGTTGCAGAAGGACAAGACTCCATGGTGGCAGAGTGAAGGCATGACGGCTAGATCTGGAAGCTGAGAGCTCACATCTTAGACCACAAGAAGGAAGCAGAAAGATAATTTGAAATGGTATTTGTCTTTAGAATACCTCCTCCAACACAGTGACATCCAAGCTTCCCCCAAAAAGTGTGTTACAGTCAACAAATCTGAAAGGAATTGGAGATCTGAAGAGCATTTTGACATCAGACATGGAGATGTAGAGTTTAGAGTTTGCCCAGATGGTTTCGGTCATGCTTTGATCCGACATTGCCTCACTGTGCTCCCTTCCCTATGTTTTGGAACAGTAATGTATATCCTGTGTTGGAAGTATGTGATCTGCTTTTTTCATTTTGACTTTATGGGGGATTACAGTTAATATATTGCATGGATCTCAGAAGAGATTTTGAACTTTAAAACATTGTTGAGGCTGGAATAGACAGTGGGAACTTTTGAAGTTGGACCAAATCCATATTGGATTATGATATTACTGCAAGCTTATAGGGGTCAGGGAGTGGAATGTGGTAGTTTGAATGCAACTGGCCTTTATAAGCTCATATGGTGTGGCACTATTGGGAGGTGTGGCCTTGTTAGAGTAAGTATGGCCTTGTTGGAAGAAGTCTGTCACTGTGGGGTGGGATTTGAGACCTCAATGCTCAAGCCACATCCAGTGTCCTAGTTCACTTCCTGTTTCCTCTACAAGATGCAGAACTTTTCAGCTACCCCTCTTACATCATGTCTGCCTGCACAACCACCATGTCCCGCCATGAGGATGATGGACTGAACCTCTGAACTGTAAACCACCCAATTAAATGTTTTCCCTTGCAAGAGTTGCTGTGGTCATGGTGTCTCTTCACAGCAACAGAAACCCTAACTAAGACAGTGCCTGAGGAAGTTGTGACATCTTCGGGAAGAGTCACTGGGGAAGTGGGTTGTTTGGGACAGGCTTTGAGATATATGATGCAGTCCCATTTTCAGCCCTAGCTCCCTGCTTCCCGATTTGCCCATAAAGTCACCAGTTGCCTCAGCTCCAGCGGCACCACCCATAATCTGGTCCTGCTGCCATGATACCACGCTGCCTATCTTATCACCATGCTTTCTCACCATGATTGACTGTACCTCCTCAAGTCACGAACCAGAATAAATCCTTCCTACAATAAACTGCTTCCTTCAAGCATTTGATGTTTTCCACCTCTTAGAGTCACTGCTCTCCCAGGCATGGCTTATCTGTGACACCAGCGATCAACCCCTAGGTGTAATCTCTCCAACCACTTCCCAGTACACAGATGATACTGCTCATGAATTATTAAGACACATAAATATTCATGTCTATTGTGCAGTCCCACAGCTGTACTTTAAGGTTTAATTTCGTATCGGGAAAAATCCTTGCTTTTCTTTCCAGTTCACCAATTCTCTCTTCAGCTGTGTCTACTCTGACGTCAGTCCACCTCAACAATTATTCCGTGTCTACTCTGACGTCAGTCCACCTCAACAATTATTCCGCGTTTACTCTGACGTCAGCCCACCTCAACAATTATTCCGTGCATTTCTAAAAGATCTACTTGTTTTCAATTTTGTTTATTTTTAATTCTGTATTGACTCATCATGTTTTGCTACAATGAATTCATGTTTTGTAACTTAGCATACCTGACAATGTTCTAAGTTCTCAGGCATTTGTATGGGTGATTATTTTGTTTGCCGTCTGTTGCTAAAGATGATCATTGTCAATGTCCAGAGCATGGAAGGGCTTGCTTATGAGACCGCATTTGTTTGAACATAGTAAGCGAGAACTCTGAGAGCATTTCTCCAGGTGAATTTACGTTAGCTTCTATCGGGCATTGATGGCTACTCCTGACCTTCAACCATGTAAAACCACTGTTCAGGTTCACCGCAGGGAGGGCACTTGGAGGCTAGGGCCTGGCCTCTTTTTCTAAGCTTCAGTGTGTGATCTTTACAGGTTTTAGGATCCTACTTTCTGTTCTGTATTTGGATTTGGGAAGGCTCTGGGAAGCATGTAGATGCCCTTGAACTTTCTCATGTGTTTAATAATGTATTGAAAAGCACATTTAACCCAAGAACAGGATGTATTGCAGCAGGAGGTCCACTGGAGGAACAATCTGAGACATTAGGCAGATTGATCTCATTGACTCTGCTGCATTATCTCAATTTCTTAATAGTCCTGAGATGAAGAATTTTACTCCCAACTAACAGAAAGAAGGTTAAACAACTCCGATTACAGAGCTATAAGTGTAGAAGTATTAAACTCAGAAGCAGATCTGCTGGTGCTGGGATTGAAGGCAGGGCATGTATGTGGTTGGCAAGCACTCTCCCGATGAGCTATACACCCAGCTCCTGCCCCCATGCTATCTACCACGATGTAGCATTGCCTCTCATTTGCGCGCTGTGCATTCATAGCCTCCTAGATGCATTTTCATCACCACTGTGCTCAATCTGGGCAGTTCTTTCTCATCTCTACTGCATTCAATTCTAGCTTTAGGTCTGCCTTCTAATCCAGCTGAATGGCTAATCCTTGGTGCTAGCAGTGAAACAGTGCTCTGCGTTTGAAGATAAGAGAAAGAAAAAAGTCAGCAGAAGGGGTAGAAGTTTCAGGAACTCCATCTAAAACATGTAAACTTCAAGGAGATACTGTTCTGATCTTATTATATAAGCCCAAGTTACTTTCCATAAAAATCAGAATACTTTTGTAAAGTACATACATAAAATGTTTGCTAGGAAGCGGGGGAAATGGCTCACTCATGAAGTGCTTGCTCCCACGAGGAAGGACCTGAGTTCAGATCCTCAGTGCCATGTAAAAGCCATGTGCAGTAGTGGAGACCTGTTACCCTAGCACTTGGGAGACAGGGGTGTGAGAATCATGTGACTTTGCTGGTTAGCCAGCCAACCCAGCTAATCGGCGGCCTCTAAATTTAGTTAGAAATCAGATTTTTTTTTTCAGAAAATAAGATGGAAAAGTAATTGAGAAATACATACAGTGTTGACTTCTGGCCTCCACGTGTGTATTTGCCTGCACATGTGTATGCATGTGTACGTGTGAGTGTGTGCATGTGTGTATGTGTATGTACATGCGTGTATGTGTGTGTTACATATGTATTTTTGCATGTGTGTCTGTGTGTGTATGTGTGTGTATATGCGTATGTGTGTGTGTGGTGTGGACACACACTCACATACACATGAGAAAGGTAGAGAAGAAACAGAAAGAAAACCGTTGTTGATGAATGAAGTCTGGTGTTGCACAAACCTCCAGGCCACAAAAGGACACATTCATAACAGAGGAGTCTTCTCCTAAGTTGGGGTGGAACGGGAATATCTCTAGAGGAAACCAGAATATGTTGTGCTTCATCTTATTCAGGGACAGACTCTGGGCGGTCCCCACACCTTATTTTATGTTGATTAATTAGGTGTCAGGGAGAAGATTCTATCCAGTGACACTTCCTTTGTGACAGAAGTAATCTGACCCGGGCTTTCACATCACGACAGATCATACCAAAAACCACTCTGAGATTTGACAATGAGCACATAGAGCACATAAATAACACGTAAGGAACTGAACAGCTGCAATTTAACTCCTGCCAAGAATGCTAAACAATCTGATAACTGTTAAGAAAAGGATGGCATTTCTTAAATTATTTTGAAGGATACTTGAACAAACACACTTCAAATCCAGTAGGTCAGACCCACGGGTGGGTCCCCTACTCTCTCTTTCTTTCTAAACAGTCTTAGCTCATCAGTAGGTTTCATTCATGAGAGACTAACTCCCAAATGCTCCCATAGTGACTGCCAAGTATTCTGAAATTGATACCGCAAAGAATTTTCCTTCTGCCCTCCAAAGTTTGATATGGTATAGTCAATCTAATATAACTGCACGCTCTTATACATTCTGAAAGCATTGCCATTTTGTGTGCATGTGGCAAATTGGTCGTTTCTTTGCTTTTAGTTTAACAAGTCAGTTCACAATTGCTGATCGGAAAGTCGGACCAGGCCAGCATGGTGGATATGAGTAGTATTGAGTGGGCAGGATTCTATGCGGGGCTCTCAGCAAAACAATCGATTCCCCTGTCCTTTCCACCATCTCTAACAGAGAGAGGAAGCATGAAATCCCCAGCCCTCCCGCCACACTGCCTAGCTTATTTACCATTCCCTCCTCCATCCTTCCTGCCTGTCCAGATGGCTTCCCTCTTTGTTTCCGAGGCTGACTTATGCGCACTCCCTTTAAGACGCTGATGACTTCACAGACCTTCATCTTCAGTCCCCACAAAGACAGACACCTTCAGTCTTACCTCTGGCGAATTATGCTGGGATTAGCTGTCACCAGCTGAGTTTTGGAGCCGACATCTCTGGTGTACTCACTTGACAAGGGAGGGAGATTGCATCTAGAAACACAAAAAGGAATGCTTCAGAATGACTCATGTACTTTTAAATCAAGTCGATGATAAGGACCCAAAGAGGAAAGTTAATTCTGGCTCAATTCACAAATAACTGTTTTCAGCACCTTTCCCTTTCATGGGCATTAGATGACTAATTCACTATTAGCATTACCAAAGTCCTGGGGCTTATGTGATTTGTGTGTGTGTGTGTGTGTGTGTGTGTGTGTGTGTGTGTGTGAGAGAGAGAGAGAGAGAGAGAGAGAGAGAGAGAGAATGTGGGGGGGGGTGTTGTTGCTGTTTTAGAAGCAAATGTCAGTGACAGAAGTAGATGATCTACCAAAGAAAAGAGACAATAACAACAATGTCTGTTTTACTAAAAATACATCTGAAGTATGGTATTCTACACCTGCAATCCCATACTTGGGAGGTAGAGGATACAGAGCCCAAAGTAACTTTGGTTACACAGCGAGTTTGAGGTCAGCCTGGGCTACACGAAACCTTGTATAAGATAGATAGATAGATAGATAGATAGATAGATAGATAGATAGATAGATAGACAGATAGATGATAGGTACCTGACAGATGATAGATAGATAGATGATAGATAGATAATATATATAGATAAAATGAATGAATGAATAAATAAATAAATAAATAAGAAAAATAAGTAGAATGAATGAATTAATTAATTGTTGGCTGATGTTTCTGTCCTGCCTGGTTCCTATAGTTGTTAAGTCCCAAGTAAATCACACAGAAGTCTACATTAATTATAAAGTGATTGGCCCAGTATCTCAGGCTTCTTATTAACTCTTATAACTTACCTTAGCCCATAATACTTGTCTATGTTAGCTACGTGGCTTGGTACCTTAAATGTCGAGGCATTCTCATCTTGCTTCCTCTGCGTCTGGGTCATGTCAAGCCCTTCCCTCTTCCCAGAATTCTCATTGCTCTGCCTTTACTTCCTGCCTGGTCACCTTGCCAATACTTTCAGCCTGGCTACTGGCCAATCAGCATTTTATTAAAAATAATGCAAGTGACAGGATAAAAGACCATTGTCTTACAGCAATTAACTAATAAAATAGGGGCCTGAGAGGCAGCTCAGCCGTTAGGAGTACTTAATGCTCTTGCAAAGGACACAGGACTCACAACTGCCTGTCAATCCAATTCTAGGAGCTCTAGTGCCGTCTTCTGGGTTTTGTTGGCATCTGCACACGTGTGGTACATATGAACTGACGCGAGCTTGCACACATCCTTATAAAATAAGATGAATCTTTATAAATGATGAAAAAGAAACAGCATTTGAAGTGTGGGACAGAGTACTTTAAACTTGGAATGAAGGCGCAGAAGGTAGAGGGCAGGTGCCCCACCCCACATTCTCTACCTACATCAGTTTTTATAAAACACTGATGGATTGGGTTGTTTCCTGTGTTTTTCTTTATTTTCCAGAAATTTACATAATAGCAGCACTTTCTGGGTCACCTACTACTCAGCTAACCTAATGCATGAAGGATTTTTGTATATGTGACTAAGGTGTCGGTGGGTTAATGTGATGACAGGGCATTGTACCCAAAGAATGGTGGCATTCTGTACCATTTCTGCTCTGCCAAGGGCAAAAGTAAAAGCAGCGTGTGTGTGTGTGTGTGTGTGTGTGTGTGTGTGTGTGTGTGTGATATGCTCTCGTGTGTGCACGCACATGCATATGCTGTACCAGTGCATATCCATACATGTGTGCACACATGTGAAGAGCAGAGGTCAACAATAAGTGTCCTCCTCAATCCCTGTCCCTCGCTGGACCTGGAGCTCACTGACCTGGCTGCACTAGCTGGCCAGTGTGCTCCAGGATCCTCCTGCCTCCGCTTTCACGGCACTGGGATTATGGGCACATGCCACCATGCCTGGCGTTTGCTATTTTCACGGGGCACTAGGGGGGTGGAACTCACATCCTCAAGCTTGTGTGGCTAGTCCTTCACCAGCTGAGCCATCTTCCTGGTCTGAACAGTGCTGTATTCTCATGAGAGAAAGCAATCAACCCACTTGTATCCCCAAACTCCATCCCGGCCCTAACAGTCTCCTTTGGTCACAATGCCTTGAGTGCACACAGTGGGAAACACAATTGTGTCATACCCAAACCTGTGACTTCCTGCCTGGGGGCATCGGGAGGTTCCTGCAGTTCCCTGGCCATAGTTCCTCCATGACCTAATACTAGAATAACAACTTTGTGTGCCTTCCTGGGTCATAGTGAGAACTAAGAGAACTCTGCTAACAGTCTCTGATGTTTATACAGCCAAAGTTCAAAACCATCCTGTCAGAAAGAACCCAATTGTGCATTTGTATTAAAAGTTGAGTCTCTCCTCTCCGACCACATATACGACTTGACTCCTGCCACATCAGAGCACATCCACTTTGCATGGTTTATTTATAGATAAAGATGAGTTTTACAAATATTGTGGTCTCTGTGAACTGCTAAATTTTCCCTACCAGTGTGCTCTAGGAGCTGAACTTGCCCACACACCTATCAGCTGACCTGCTCCCATGGTCAGCTTCTCTTTCTTACAAGCCTCGTGACTCCTGCCACACCAGGCCATCCAAGCAGAAACGTCTCCGTGTTGATTAAAAGTCTCCCTTTCATCTGCTTGTGAGTAATACAAAAGCTGAATGTTCTGGTAACCACACACAGGTCAGCCAGCTATTGAATATCCATTGAAAGCACCGTAGGAAGCTGGGGAGGAACTGGTCACAAAGCCTACTCTAGAAGCATCTACAAGCTCGTGGTGACACCATACCCATGTGGTTTCCTGGGGGGTTGTGCAGAAGGGTGGACTCAGTCATCAAAACCCAGTTCCCATCAAGCGGTAGTGTGGATCTGATTGTGACTGCTCTGTCTAACTAACCTTTGCAAAGACAAGATGGCTTCCCAAATAAAACAAAGGCCTCTTAAGGACACTTTGATCTCGACTGCCCTTGTTAACATCTGAGAATCAACTACAGGTTCTGCACTTTGCTAGAGAGTCTTCGTAACCTGTTTTGCCAATAGCGAATTTATTTTCAACTACAAATATTTTTCTTCTTCTGTGTTCCATGCTTCATATAACTGGATCCATTTATATCTTCTACCACAGAGTAAAATCTCAAGAAAAATTTTGTCAATCAATAAACAGAGTCAATAAACAAACACATAAAAATCTGAACCAAAACAACAATAAGATTTGCAGAACTGGTTTTCCCTGGTAACAGAGGTGTGCTGCTAACAAGCCGGACTTCACATGCGGCTTGCTGGAATATGCTGACAACGCATAGTGAACGGCTGCCTTCTGGTCTGTAAACATTCTTCCGGCACAATAGCAGGGGCACTTCCCTGCGTCTCTTTCCTTAGGAAAAGTGCACTATGTGCTTAGCTCCTCAATTTCTAAATTGATAATTACATGGATTTACATAAAAGGCCCATTTAATACAGCCAAATTGCTTCTAATAAGGCATAATTGTATAAAGTGTCCCAAATTTCACATTATTGCTTGTTGGCACAATTGAGAGAGATATTAGTTGCTTAAAGTGTTTCCAAAACAGTGATGCTTGTGATCCTGAAAGAGATCCAAGAGCAGAAGAGGGCGATAGATGAGAAAGGAACGTGGTGAACAGAAGACACCACTCGGGAAAAACAGTTTTGTGTGTGTGTGTGTGTGTGTGTGTGTGTGTGTGTAAGCATGCAGAACATTCCTCTGCACATAATCCGAAAGGCTCTGAGCCATGCAGTCGTCTTCAGCGTGTAATAGTTACACACACGGTCGTCTTCAGCGTGTAATCATTACACACACGGTCATCTTCAGCGTGTAATAGTTCCACACATGGTCGTCTTCAGCGTGTAATCGTTACACACACGGTTGTCTTCAGCGTGTAATAGTTACACACACGGTCGTCTTCAGCGTGTAATAGTTACACATGCGGTCGTCTTCAGCGTGTAATAGTTACACACGGTCGTCTTCAGTGTGTAATCGTTACACATGCAATAGTCTTCAGCGTGTAATCAGTACACATGCAGTCATCTCCAGTGTGTAATCCTTACACATGCAATAGTCTTCAGCGTGTACCTATTACTACTCCTGCCTCCTAAATGTCCTAGAGAAACTGAATTCAAGAGTTTGTTGTTGTTCTGAGACAGGGTCTCCTGTAGCCGGGAATGTCTCCAATTCCCTATGTAGCCAAGGATGACCCTAAACTTCCCATCCACCTCTCGAGTGCTGGGGCTAGAAGTGTGTCCTACCAAGTCCAGTTTTTATGCAAGTACCCTACCCACTGAGCCCCAGAGATTATTTTTAAAGTGCTTCTTTTGGTTAAAGAATAAATGTGCACTTTGAAAAATGGGAAGTTGGTTTTTAACATTTTGAAGGATATGTTTAAAAAATGTCTATGCAAAGAACATTATGGGATGGTTGAAGAACATGCCTGGAGGACATTTTCAGCTGTAATCTGGGTACACTCTACAGGCAAGACTATGTGAAGACCCCTTCCCCCCACTGCATTTGCCCAGACCACGTGCAGTCTAATCCCCCAGGTTCTGAACTTGTACAGATGGTATCAACAGCAGGTTGTGTAAAAGGCCAACCTAGTCGTGCTTATTTGGGATAAATGGGACACCACAAGATAATCCCTGGTGGTGCTTAGGCTGGCTCTTTTACATGTGAGGTTAAAAATATTCATCTTCCTAATGGTAGCCACACACACACACACACACACACACACACACACACACCCAGCAGCAGTAGAATCTGTTTTTGCCAAAAAGCTTGACTCCCCCTTGGGCTATAGGGTAACTGAGAGCAAGAGGAGAGACTAGTGTCTCCTCCCATCTTGTGCCCACTCTTTGGGTGTTAAAGCAGAAATGTTGCTGTTCTTAGCCCTTCTCTTGAGTCACCTTAAGTTCCAGGCAAATAAAACCTCATAGGACAGGCCGCCTCCACCCCAAATGAGGATAGTTATCTATGAGGGCAAGAATGTACCCTCCAGGGTGAACAGGCTAGCAATTTAAGGGAAAACTTAAGAATTGGCTTGCGGGTCAGGGTGAGAGCTGAGACAATGATGGGTCAGTGGTGGGCAGAATCATGGAGCTACTTGGTTATGTGCAGCCTGCTGGAGCTGCAGGACCAGGCTGCTGCCTTGCAACCTCTGCTAACACTGCTTCACTTAGCGTGTAGAGGAAGCTCCTCAACTGTGTTCCGGGGAAGCCTGCAGGTTCGGAAAGGACGGAAATACGACAATGACACAGTATTCATAGAAGCATGTATAAAATCAGAATCGACTGAGGAATGTCTCCTTATCCTTCCTCTAATGGCCTAGGCAGAGGTAACGAAACACAGTGTAGTGCACCAGCCTGGTCAACCGTGCAGTTGGCGTGTTCTCCCAACCCTAGGTTCTTCATTAGCTTTTCAGCCTCATGTGAAAACCCAGGGACTGGAGTAGGTGCCTGACATCACTGAGGCTCCCTGTACTCTCACCTGCCTCTGCCTTCTGTGAGATTTATTCCACTCCTATGATGTTCTTATTTCTCCTGCACCTTCTCCCATGTCTCGTGATACCCAAGCCACACTAACTGGAGCTGTAAAGAAGGCTGCTTCGTGAAGCTTCTCTGCTTTAGAGTTTATTAAACCTTGTTCCTCAGCCTGCGGGGGAACAAGGAAAGGATTTGGCTCCAGGGCCTCTTCTGCATCGAGTATTGCACTCATGGTCTTAAATGAAAAGCTGTCCACTCCTTTCCCCAATATTCGTATACATTGCAAAAATAAAGTCAAATGAAATAAGTAGTAGCCAAGAAGAAAACACAGTTCTCCAGTGGAAAATGACATTAGAGTACTCTTGAAGGAAAGGCAGGGATGGAAGGCGCCCCCAGGTCCATACCTACACCCCACACCCCACTGCTACAAGTTTCACCAAAGGAGACAACATGCCTTGGTGGCAAAGTAACTCTCTTCTGAGAGGGTATGTGGCAAATGCTAGGAAAATGGCTCCACCCGAACCACTCAAATAATGTAGAGTTCCATGTGGAATTAGAATGCTTAGAGCACCACCCCCACCCTACATGTGATTCCATGGTGTGTGTGTGTGTGTGTGTGTGTGTGTGTGTGTGTGTGTGTTGTACATGTAAAGGCTACTAGTCTGCACCCAGCCTTTTAGGTAGATGCCAGGAATCAAACTTAAGTCTCTGTCGGGTTCCAGAATCCTTGGGTTTCTGGTTCATAGTCATTCCTACATCCTTGAAATTTGAGGGTTCACCTGAAAGATTCCACCAGCCTCTCAGTGTTCTTTCTGCTTCCTCAATGAGACATGCTTTCCTTTTCCCACACTGTGTCTCCAATAAGCTGGGCTCTACAGGCCTCCTCCTCAGCATTTGCCCAGACTTACAGTTGGATGGCGTCTTCCCTTGGTCAGGCTTAGCAGTTTTTATCACTGCCCTGAAGGGGGTCTCTTGTCCTTTACCACCACTCAGGTCTGTGTCCCCACCTCCCCATGCTGCTCAGTCCCTTGATCAAGATTCCTTCTGATGTGGTTTACTCGCTGATCTTTCTTGTCACATTCATAGTCACAACTCAGACCAAAACCCCATCTTTAGATCCCACTCGCTGCTTTCAAATGCCCTGGGGAAAGCTAAGAAGAGAAGGGTACCCTCACAGTGACTAAAATGTTTATTCATGTGGAGTGAGCCCTGAGGAAAGAGCAGTTTGCAAGGTTTTAATCACCCAAGTAGACAATCTCAGGGAAGATCCTAGCCCTCGCTCTCCTCCCTGCTGCCCTCATGAGCAGCAGAACTACCTCTGTTGCTGCCCAGCCTTCTTAGCTTTGAGATTCCTTGGGGAAAGTTCCCTTGCTCCCTTTAGGGCACTCATAACCTCACTTGTCTATGGGCTTGAAGAGAAACTAAAGACAGGCGACAGGAGATTAATTGCAAGCCACTAGGTTTGAAAGGCCGGGGGCTTATGGAAGGGTGGGACAAAAGAGAGGACTCAGAGGCCACGCTGTGGGTGCTCTCTTACCGCATGACAAAATCTGCTTCGTCTATGTCGCGGCCACAGCCACTCATCTTCAGAATCCCACCGTTTCCCACCACCGCGCATTTCTTCAATGGCAGCTGGAAGGGGGTTGCCTAGCAACAGAAAACAAGGCGGGTTTTCACTGCAAAGGACACACAAGCGCTCAGAAATCATTATTGACAGCAGCAGACCTGAGGAATTTGAAGGCAGACTTGGCAGGGCCAAAAAGAACCCTGGGAAGAAGATGGACGTCACTGAATTGCTGAGGAACAATCTGGCCTGTTTCTTAGGGGTGAAAAAGGGGCACGGGGTGGGGGTGGGGGTGGGGAGTAAGGCAAAACAAACAAACAAAAAGTCCCTGGAATATATTTAAATGTAGTGGCGTTATTGCTTTGTGTTTTTTTTTCTTTCCTTCTCAAATTGGCCGAGCATACAGCACAAGGTGTTTGCGAGGGAAAACAGAAAAGTCCAAACTAAACACAGGATTGCTTCTAAACGCCTTAGACAGGAAATAAAGCCAAATGAGTTCTGTTCTCCATGTGAGTGCAAAGACACCATGGGCTGTCCACTCCCCAACAGCGTCTGGGTATTTCTTATGTTAACTGCTGGAGACAGCAAGGACACAGAAGTCTGAGGCGGCAAGAGAAAAAAGGGGCAAGAGTGTGAACTTCAGTCACCAGCTAAACTGTACCATGAAGTTGCTGACTTCACCAAGGTGGAAGCCTCAGCAACTGCTATGTGACACCCTAAAGGAGCAGGCAGTACTGTCCCCCGGCCCTCAGACAAAGCTTTAGCACTTGAAGGATCAGTAGAGGGCTAGGGAGATGGCTCAGGCAGTCAAGTGCTTGCCTAGCGAGTGTGAATCCTGAACGTGAGCTGTACAACTTGTATGAAAAAGCAGAATGTGACTGTGTGTGCTTGGAATCCCAGCGGCAGGGGTGGGGTGGGGCGGGGGTTGAAGACAAGGAGATTCTGGAGCTCACTGGCCAGGTAGCCCATCCGACTCATGAGCTCCAGGCTAAGTGCAAGATCCTTCCCCCAAAACAAGATGTAAAGCAATTGAAAAAGATACCCGGCGCTGACCTTTGGCCCTCAGACACACACACACACACACACACACACACACACACGAATACTCAGGATCCTGCCAGGCAGGGGACACAGTACAAACAAGGGCGACAGTGTTTGCTGGAAGAAAACACGCTGCTGTGAGCAGAACACTCTGGGTGGCTCTGTTTAGAACTTGGGAGCCATTAAGGGACAGGTGACTTGTGTCAAACCAGACAGCATGTGACTTTCTTCTGCAAATATCTAGCTAGAATACAAAGAAAATGTTCTGTGTGCCTGAGTGCTCCCTGGAGCGCTATTTATAGAGCCAGGGAATATGGAAAGCCAGTAATAGTCCCTGAACGTGAAATGAATCATTTGGCCTCTTCTAGCTGGGTCAGCAAGAACTGCCGGGTACCCAGGCTCCTTGAAGCTGCTGGAACAGAACACAGTCTTCGGAGTACTTGGGGGAAAGACCTTGAATAGATACATAACTGGTCTAGAAAACAGCCAGATTGATAGGTCATGTCATTTGCATATGATCTATTTGCATGCGATCCACGCAAATGATACAGACTATACCAAAGACAAAATGGAATTAGCTCATGAATATACAATAAAAGGCTCCTGCCTAGGCATGAAGTAATAACTCAGCCAGGAAAAAAAATCCCCAAGAGTCTCTGCTTTCATTGGTAGCTGAAGGAGGCACTTAGTCCAATGTGAGAAGATTTTATTCTCTTGATTTCTAGTGGTAAAATGAACAGCCAGAGCTATGTAAATATTGGTGATAAATATGTGGTGTTTGGAGTGTAATGTCTAAGCAGTTGCCTACTGGGAGAAAAGAACTGCATTTCTACAGCAGAGATCAGCCCAGTAAACTGCTCCCGAGTGAGGTCTATGAGGGGAGACGGGCAAGGGAAAGCAGCTTGGTTTAGAGCAATGCATATTTTTCTTAGTCATTCCTAAAAAGAAGATTTGAAATCAACACTCAAAACACAGCGATATCTCCCATTGGTGAGACGGAAAGCTGGGGACTGACGCTCATGTCGGCTTGTTTGTATATTCCACAATGTTTTCTGTGACATGTGAGGGGTAGGGACAAAGCAAAACCCGTGTTTCCTGGGCACTCACACTCTATAACAGAGAAGGGTAAAGGAATGCAGGGGGAGTGAACGGTGGGGCAGATGGTGAGGTGGTCTGTGGAGAGAAACAGGGCATAGGCATAAGAGGGTCCGGACACACTCCTGAGAGGAGCTGCAAAGGTCAGCGGGTGATCCGCCACCGTGCATAGGAAAGCCTTGAGCAGATTCCTGGAGGAGCTGAGAATGTGGGAACTTAGGGATGTGCAGAGCTTACTGGCACAAACACCTTAAGGAGGGAGCATTCCTGGGGTGAGATGGGGGTCAAGAGCTGCTTTTGTCTGCAGATGGGTCAAGAGAAAGAGAGAGAGAGAGAGAGAGAGAGAGAGAGAGAGAGAGAATAAAGACTAGTAAGAATGTGTGGAGAGGGTGGCGAAGGCCATGTAGGGAGCCATAAAAACAGTGATTTTTATTCTAAGATGAGAACCAAGTCAACGGAAATGGGCAGGGGGTGGCATCATGACCCACGCTGCAGTGACAACAAGCTGAGGGGAGTCTGGGCAGGAAAAGGGGCCAGGGAGGAGTCTGGTGCCATATTCCTGACCAGGGACTTTAGTGACCTGGAACAGGGGACAGGAGAAGGGAAAGAGGTCAGATTATGGAAGGATCGGGAGCAAGTGCTGAATGGATTTGCTGGTGTGCAGAAAGAAAGGAAGGAGAGAGAAGAGAGAAAAAGAGAGGAATAGGGAATGGCTCCAAGAGTTTTGTTTTCAACAGATGACCAGCTGCTTCCTGGGCTATAGACCACAGTAGGAGTGCGTACGGAGACTGATTAAGAAGTCAGCATTGAGAACATCAAGGGTGCTGTGACCTTCAGATGTCCAAGTGGCCTCATCAGGTGTGTGACTAAGCACACAGTCAGGAACTTGTCTGTGTGAGGTAAAAAAACGAAGAGTGTCTTAGTTAGGATTTCTATTGCTGTAAAGAGACACCATAACCACAGCAACTCTTATCAAGTAAAACATTCAACTGGAGTGACTGGCTTAAGAGTTCAGAGATTCAGTCCATTATCAACATGGTGGGACATGGAGGCATGCACGCAGACATGGTGCTGGAAAGTAGCTGAGCCTCTAAGTCCCAATCACCAGATTATGGGACAGGGGAGCAGATGTCACAAGCCCCTATGTTCTGTTCCCTCCCTCCGCAGGGAGGCCATACTGTACAGGATGCTGTGGGACAGAACACCCTCTGCAACCTGGGAAGAGCAACCCACTCAACTTTCAGCCTGTTTCCATTCCTTGTCTCCCCCACCAGAGTTCATGGACTTGTCTACACCTTGGCAATTCTAGATTTCCAGTGCTTCCATGGACAAAACAAGGGGCAATTTGTTTAACTGTCTAACTTGGTCTTAACAATAAAGAACCATTTTATTAGCAGAAAAAATTAAGGAATTGATGTCTATACCCTTAGCATCACCCCAAAGTCCAAAGCACAACTTGAGGACTTAGGAAAAACACAGTGAGATGACTTTTACCTGACATTTGCTTGCTCCTTCATTTTCTTAACAACTGCTGAACTCACAGAGGAAATTCATCTCACTTCATTTCAATAAATGCTCTCAAGTGCCTGAGAACACTCTGCCGGCAACGCTAACACACCAGCGAACAATAACACTACACCAAAGCTTTCAATGAGAAAAACCTATGGGTGTTATCTACCTAATAATAATGGGATAATGACATCTTTGTCTAGTTTAGGTCCAGGGTTCTGGGCAACAGTTGGGGCTGCAAAGAATATTAAGGGATCTCCTTCTAGCATACTATACATGAGACAAATCATGTGACTCTTAAAATTTTAAGGGTGTGTCTTTAGGAAGGCCTTCCATGCTGTTTTCTGATGTATCTCCTTGCATATTGCTGTGGCCACGTAGGGTAGTGAGCTGCCACACCCCTGCTCATATTAATAAAAAGTATTACTGTAAGTGAAAGGATTGATTAGAACATTAGCTGGATGAAACCCAGTGATAAGGTCATCTGCTTTAGAGTCCCATTTCCCAGGCACCTCAACATCTCAGTGCCCCATAGGAAAGCAAGTGTGATAAGAATGCCCTCCTGAGAGTTAAAGGAAGGTGAGTCCATTGAACACCACCATATATGATTTGTACACTACAATACATTTATTTATATAAAAATCAACATTGCTATACACAAAGTTAAATTCCTTCATGGGGCTTTGGGGATTTGGATGGAAATGCCCTCCCGTTGACTCACGAGTCTGATCTCCAGCTGGTAGTGCAGTTTGGGAAGTTTTTGGAACCTTTCAGAAGTGGAGCCTCATTGGAGAAAGTGTGTCACTGGGAGTGGGCCTTGAGTCTGGATAGCTTAGATCTACTTCCTCTTCGTTCCCTGAGCACGAATGGATTCGGTGTGACGAGCCAGCCCCTGCTCCCACCAGCACCTTCCCTGTCTCTGCCATTGTGTTCCTGCAATGGTGGACTGTGTCCCCCTGGAAATGCAGGCCAAAAACCCCTACTTTTCTCTTAAGATATTTTTCAGGGTATTTTCTTCCAGCAAGGCGAAAGTAAATAAGGTGCTCAGTGTATTACTAAAACACGACCACGTATACCACATCTTTGTGTGAGATCACTTTAGTTTAGAGGATTCACATGGATTTTTAGCAAAATCAGATTTTCAAACCATTGGTCTCTTTGAAGATGTATCTACAACACATAAAAAGAACTATGAGATTTAAAATGTGAAGGCTTTTTTATTGAGAAGCTTTTGGAACCTTTCTCTGTCCAATCAAACACTGAACAGGATGGTTCCATGTGTTCCATGGATTGGTGGCCGAGCAGCCTAAATGCTTTGCTTTGATAAACACCATGACCAAAAGCAACTTATGGAAGAAAGAATTTATTTGGGGTTGTGGCTCCAGAGGAATAAGAGTCCTGTGTGGTGGGGAGGCGTGGCAGCAGGAGTAGGAATCTT